ATTTGGGGGGCGCCTGGGTAGCTCAGTCGTCAAGCGTCTGCCTTCGGCTCAGGTCATGATCCCAGGGTCCTGGGATTGAGCCCCGCGTCGGGCTCCCTGCTCTGTGGGAAGCCTGCTTCTCTCTCTCCTGCTTCTCCCTCTCCCACTCCCCCTGCTTGTGTTCCCTCTCTCACTGTGTCTCTCTCTGTCAAATAAATAAATAAAAATCTTAAAAAAAAAAAAGTCATGCATTTGGGCACACGTGTTCGCATGCGTGAGAACCAATTAAAACCACAGTACCTATGTTCCTCTACACTCCATGTTGTATTTAATCTTAGGACTGTTCATATCGGCACATCTACCTTGTTCTCTATCACAGCAGCAAGGTTACTAACCCACTCTGCAACCTCCAGGGCAAAGCGCATAAAAACTTACTTAGCTGTGGTTAGGAAGATAACTTTACCCCCCATCTGATTGTTAAAGGACACGTGACTTGTAGCAAAAAAGGGGACACAAAAGTGTAAAAGAAAACAGTTCCCCAAATCCCAAAGACCACTGGTTGAAAACTCACACACTCCCAGTAACAGGGTCTGCCCCCCACCCCCCCACCCGGTCCCCCAGGGCCTCAGCACTATGTGTTGACAATGGTTTTCATTCCCCCAACAAAGGGAGAGGAAATGTAATCACTGGTAACATGGCGATGATGAGTGGACTCTGGAGCCAGACCACGCAGGGTCAACTCCCTACACTACCATTTCAACAGCTTTCTAAACTTGGCCAAATTCCTTCAAGTCTGTCTCAAATTCCTCCAGAATAAGATAAGGATAACCGCATGTGCCTCGTGACACAAATGATAAATGAAGTCATAAATGCAAAGTGCTTAGAAAAGTGACTGGCACAGAGGGCCCTGTAAATGTCAGTTATCGTGACCTTTGGGTTTTTTGAACATTATGTACACATTCTGTATTGGGCTAAAAGTTGTTGCACAACTGTGTCCTCTTTCCAGCCCACCAAGTGGTCTGAACTAGCCTTGGGGTTCATGACAAAGAGCTGAGTGAGGACTGGGTTACTTATTCCCACTAAAGGTATTTCTGTAATCTGTCACTTCATCAGATCTTGTAAGGACGAGCCCCACCTCCCAGTAGGGTCAACTACCCCCTCCAGACACCCCCTCCCCCCGTGTATATGCAATACAGAATGCAGGTAGGGATAGTACAGCAATGCTGAGGTTGGTCTGCAGGGAGTCCCTCAACCCCAATCATTTGCAAAAATAACAGGACAATGAAAATTTAATAAAACCAATTCTAAGATAAACTGGCAAAAGTCAACAGTTTCTCTGTAAATAATAACTTGATTAAAAAAATACAATTGGGAAGATATTCCTAATAGCCACAAAAACCAAACTATAAAGCACGAGAGATAACCACAGGCATGAAGAACCTTAGTGAAGAAAGTCATATCAATAAATCACATCACGCTCCTGAGAACAAAGGGATAACACCATAAACATGTCAGTCTATAAATCTACTGCAGTTTCATCCAAAATCCCAAGGGGATATTTTGGGAGAATTACAAATAAATTCATCCCAAACATACTGTGATCACTTTAAAAAGGCACCTGAAACACACTATGACTTCAGACATGCAGAATGACAACAGCTTATTTTTAGCACTTTAAAGCCACAAACAAAAAGCAAGAACCATGTTAAAATCTCTCAACATTTCATCATATTTAATATAAACTCAGCATAGTTTCCAAAATGGCACAAAGTCCCTTGAAATATTTATTTTCCCCATGAGAGTGAAAACTTAGTTCAGATTAAACTGTCCTGTAAAATAAATTCTTGTTTAGCTATCAGCCCCTTTCATCCGGTGCTAATGATCATGGTGGCCAAATTCTACTTGGCCCTTTACTACACGGATTACTTTGTGCTAAGTACTCCAACCATCCCACTTGGGAAAAAAAAACACATTATCTCATGAAAGTTAAGAGAAACAGTCATCACAAAGGAATCTGTCAAAATATTGTATTATATTCAGTGCCTTAAGTTCCTCATGTGAACCGAAATTTCCCCTAAAATCAGTATTTCTCAAACAACACAAAGACTCTCAGAGGGCTCACTTGCACACCAGGGAAAGGCACAGGAAAGGGGATCTGAGCTAACACGCAGTCTTCACTGTTATCCGGAGACCTCGCGGATAAACTGCGAGATACTGACTCTATGCAAGGTGCCAAAAATAATTGTGTGCCCTGGAACTTCAGTATCATTTCCCTGGTATAACCTGAATCCACTGAGGGCCTTAGAAGGATTAAACTATTAAAAGCGGAATGAAAGAGGTTATAGTACAGACCAAATAAAATAGAGAAGAGAAAGACTAGTACATTAAATGAATAAGTCATACATCAAATTTCAGTAGTTAAAATAACAAAATTAATCAAAATCATAGGAGGCCACAGGAGCAACCAGTACTAGACTTTCCCTCTTACTGTATACAGCTAGAAAACTGGACAAAACACATGAAACAACAGTTTCCAGATATTGAGCAACAGGGAGCAGAGGACAGTGAACTCTGAGAGAAGGGAAGCAGATGAGGTGAACCCTAGGAAGCCTCCAGCTTTCTGCCTGGAGGCACCGTCTGACCCAAACACTAAGAATCCAAGCGGAGAACCCCAGGCAGAAAGCACAGGCCCTGCCAAGGTGAAGAGACACTGAGACCAGAACTCCAGGAGGCTCAGCAACTGAGGACAGACTCTCAAAGCAGCTACTCAGAGAAAAAGCTCCAGAAACCTGCACAGAGGTCTCTGTGAACCTGCTGATGAATACTAAGCTGCACACAATAGGGTAAAACTCTTTAAAACCAAGCAAACAACAACTACAGGAGAGCTGTGGGCTGAGAAAATACTCAGAGGTCAGGGCAGAGCTGGGAGCTACGATGAACCAGAGTGGAGAAGCTTCACTGAACACATCCAAAGCATTCATGGTAGAGACCCCAGCAGGGCTAGGGCAGGGCTAAAGGCACCTTAAGGTAAGATTACTCTGGACTCCCCACCCCAACAAAACTTAGAGTAAGTCTTGAAAGAACTGGACTGATTCACAAGTAATGTAAGTGCCTACCAAACACACCTGAATACCCTTTAAAGGGAGAACACAAAATCCAGACACTCAGCAACATGCCAACACAATGTCCACTATCCAATAAAAAATTAACAGACAAGCCAAGAAAGAGAAAAATGTGACCCAGGACAAAAATATCAGTCCCTAGAAACACACCAGGAAATGACAGACATAATAAAATTGGCAGACACTTTAGAACAGCTACTATAAATATGTTCAAGGACTTAAAGGAACATATGATTATAATGAGAAAAATGGATGTTATAAAAAAGATCCAAATGGAACGACTACAGGTGTAAAATACAATTTCTGAAATTAAAAAATTTACTGGATGGGCTCAACGGATAATGCCAGAAGAAAAGATCAGTGAACTTGAAGAAACAGCAACAGAAAGAAAAGAGGCTCTGAACATGGGCAGAGCCTTCGTGACCTGTGAGACAGACCCACTCAGTCTAATACACATGTGCCCCAGAGGGGCAGGGAGGCAGTATGGAAATTTCTGAAGGAGTAATGGCAAAATCTTTCCAATTTGATGACAACGATAACCTGCAGATTCAAGAATCTGAGTAAATCCGCCCCCCCCCACACTCACACACACAACACCACACAAAGAGACATTATAAACAAATCATGGAACATCAGCAATAAAGAGAAAAATCCTAAAAGCAATCAAAGGAAAAAAAGAGATACATGATGTACAAAGGGAAAGAGAGCAACCAAAGACTTCCCAGCAGAAACAACACAAGTCAACATCCATCTTTCAAGTGCTGAAAAATAACAAAGACTATCAACCTAGAATTCTATACAGCAAAAACATCCTTCAGAAATTATGGATGAAATAAAGCCATTTTCAGACAGACAAAAGCTGAGAGAATTTATCACCACAAATTGACACCGCAAGATGTTAAGGGAAGCTCTTTTCACTGAAGGTTTCTAGATGGAAACTTGAATGCAGGTGCACACACAGACCCACTCACACCCACACGCACACCCCACTACACACCGACCATCAGAAATGGTAAATATGTGGGTCATATAAAAAAAAAACTCATTGTTTACTTTCCCTAAAAGATAAGTAACTTTTAAAAGATGACTTTTATTTATTTACTTTAGAGAGACAGAGTAAGGGGGCGGGCAGAGGCAGAAGGAGAGAATCCCCACACAGACTCCCCACTGAGCACGGATTCCACCGCAGCTTAATCCCAAGACCCACGAGATCACGACCTGGGCCGAAACCAAGAGTTGGATGCTTAACCGACCGAGCCACCCAGGCGCCCCAAAGATGGCTGACTCTTAAACCAAGACCAACAACAGTGTATTGGGGGGTTTATAATATTGAGAAATAAAATGTACCAGCCAAACAGAGGACAGGAGGGAGATATGGGAGTACACTGTGACTGAATTCCCGTATGTGTGGAGTCAGGGTGTCATACTGCGAGCCTGAAAGCAATCGGAGGAAGAAAGAAAGAGAGAGAGAGAAACATGTATGTATAAATAGCTAATAAGCCAATGATAAAAAGGAATACTATTAAATAATCTATAAATAAAAGGAAAAGAACAAACTGAAACAAAAGACAGATGCAGCAAATGAAGAAACAGCAAGATGGTACACCTTAACCAAAGCAAGTCCATCATCACATTAAATATAAATAGTCCAAACACCTCGATGACGAGACACTGTCGACTTGGTAACAAAGCAAGACCCCGACTGTACGCGCGCGGTCTACAGCCTGAACTGCACTTGAAGTAAATGGAACAGAAGACCGAGGAGTAAGAGGATGAAGCTGCAGAGGCCCATGCTGCTGTGCGGCCCTCACTCACATCGGGGTGCAGGCGAGGGGAGCAGAAGGAAGTGGCTGCAGCTGGCCCATAGGACGGACCCCCTCTGCCAGCCAGCCGGTTGGGAGACTGCATCAGATCCGTGCCTGAGGCCACCAAGGCTCGGGATCCCCGCATGGCTGGCCGACCGGACGCGGGTATGCGTGAAGGCAGCCAGCAGCCAGGGGTCACTGCAGAACGGCTACGCGGGACACGGGAAAGGTGAGCAGGGAGGAGGGAAGCGGGACACCAGGGCCCCTCTTCTCTTAAGATAATCGGTCCTGGGAAAAGGCCAATTGGACAAAACCTACTTCAGAATGTCATAATAAATAGGGGACAAACTTCAGCTTCACAGAAGCTGGAATATTAGGTCCTGGATCTACCCTCCCACCTCCCACAACTCAGACACTGAACAACACACGTGAAACAGTTTTCAGGCCGTGGACAACAGGCGGCCCAGGACAGTGCTCCCTGGGAGGGGAGACAAGGTAAGCCCAAGATCTGCCACGGGTACTGCCGGCCACCGGGACTGCGGCCACGGGGCGGGAAGGAAGCCCAGGCAAAGCCTGTCATCTCTCAGAACCGAGGACTCAGAAGACAGGACTGGGGGAGGGGGGGTGGCAAAGAGGGAGCAGAAGCAACTGCACAGAGACTGTGTCTCCAGCTGAGTCCTGGGCAGCACGTGTTGGCAAGAAAACCGCCCAACCAGGGAAGAAGAACCACAGAAGCAGCAGGTAGAACCATCTCCAAAGTTCGCCCAGGGCTGGAAATAGCTAGGGTTCCCAGTGGCCATAGCGGAAAAGGATTGTGATACAGGACACTGGATAATTACTCAGACAGGTATCCCCTCAGTGGTGGGGAGAAAACCACCCAAAAGGCTCTTCTCATCTCATCCTGCAAAACTTAAAGCATCAAAAGGATCAAACTGTTTCCAAGTACCTTCACTGCATTCCAGAAAACAGCTCAAGAAAGTTTTGAAAAATATACAATTATCTAGCACCCACAAAGGTAAAATTCACTAAGTCTGGCATCCAATCAAAAATTACCAGGCAGGAAACTAGACCCCAATAAGGAGAGGAAATCAATGGAAACTAACCCAGAAATGTCAACTAATTCCATTATCTGTGACTAGGTTAACATTAAACATTAAATCAGTTATTGTAACTGATAAACATTAAAAACTAAACATTAATTTTAAATTATTTAAACATTGATACAGCAATTATTCACAATAGCCAAAAGGTGGAAGCAACTCGAGAGTCCATCAACAGTATATAACCAACCACCCTGAAGTATTATTCAGCCACAAAAAGGAATGATAGATGCAGGCATGGATGAATTTAGAAAATACCATGCCAAGTGAAGGAAACCAGATACCAAAGGACAGATATCGCAGGACTCTACTTCCACCAGGCACCTTGAAGAGGCAAATTCGTAGGGACAGAGAAGAGAACGGGCTACCACGGGCTGGGAGGGGAGATGCTGAGTTACTGTCTAGTTACAATGCAGAGTTCCCACTTGGAAATTGGTGATGGTTATCCAACATCGTGAATGTACTGAGGCCACTAAATCATACACTTAAAATGGTTAAAATGGTAAATTTTATGTATATTTTACCACAATTTTGAAGACTGTACAAATAAAGATGTACAATTGTGGAAGAAAATGAATGGCCCCCTAACTGCACTTTTCTTCCTTCTACGGATTAGCCTTCTGTAGCTGATGGCTGGTGCTCAAATATTCACAGCGGCCAGTGGCCAGAGAAACAAGTCAGAGAAACAAAGACAGGCTCTCAGAGGTCAACAGAAGCCTTAAAGCAGAGTAAGATACTTTCAGTACCGTCACCAAACACTGTAAAGCAGATGTGATAAGCTTCAGGGTCAATGTTTGCTTTAGGGCATTTGTGGGACTTACACGAACTACGGTACCACCTGGGCTCCAACTTCAAAAAACAAAAGACAAAGAAAGGAAGGAAGAATTTAGGAGAGGCCAGGAGAAAACTCCGTTGGGGGGCGCCTGGGTGGCTCAGTCGGTTGAGAGTCTGACTCTTGATTTCGGCTCAGGTCCTAATCTCAGGGTCCTGGGATCAAGCCCTGTGTTGGGCTCTGTGCTCAGTGGGGAGCCTGCTTAGGATTCTCTCTCTCTCTCTGCCCCCCCAATAAATAAAATCTTTTCTTTTTTCTTTTTTAAGATTTATTTGTTTGACAGAGAGAGAGCAGCAGAGGGACAGGGGGAAGCAGACTTTCCACTGAGCAGGAAGCCCGAGGCGGGACTCAATCCCAGGACCTCAGCGGAAGGCAGACACTTAACTGACTGAGCAACTGAGGCCCCCAATAAAATAAAATCTTAAAAAAAAAAAAAAGTTGGGGCGCCTAGGTGGCTCAGTCGTTAAGTGTCTGCCTTTGGCTTGGGGTCCTGGGATCAAGCCCCACATCGGGCTCCCTGCTCGGTGGGAAGCCTGCTTTTCCCTCTCTCACTCCCCCTGCTTGTGTTCCTTCTCTTGCTGTATCTCTCCCTGTCAAATAAATAAATAAAAATCTTAAAAAAAAAAAAAAAAAGAGAAAAGGAAAAGGAAGAGAAGAGGAAAGAAAAGAAAAAAGAAACTCTCTCGGGGACTACAGTGATCATCTGCACCTGACCCCCAGGCCCACTGGGACAACATTCCCCAAGTTCCACTTTCTAGCCACTCCAGGATTTTCAACCTCTCCCATCTCCTTCCATCATCCTCACTCTCCAAGTGTTCCTTTGACCAATGTTTCCTTTTTTTTTAATTAACATATAATGTATTATTTGTTTCACGGGTGCAGGTCTGTGATTCATCAGTCTTACACAATTCACAGTGCTCACCATAGCATGTACCCTCCCCAAAGTCCATCACCCAGCCACCCCATCCCTCCCAACCCCCTCCACTCCAGCAACCCTGTTTGTTTCCTGAGATTAAGAGTCTCTTATGGTTTGTCTCCCTCTCTGGTTTTGTCTTGTTTCACTTTTCCCTCCCTTCCCCTATGATCCTCTGTCTTGTTTCTCAAATTCCTCATATCAGGGAGATCATATGATACTTCTCTTTCTCTGACTGACTTATTTCGCTTAGCATAATACCCTCTAGTTCCATCCACATCATTGCAAATGGCAAGGTTTCATTTTTTGATGGCTGCATAATATTCCATTGTATATATGGACCACATCTTCTTTATCCATTCATCTGTTGATGGGCATCTTGGCTCTTTCCATAGTTTGGCTATTGTGGACATTGCTGCTATAAACACTGGGGTGCATGTTTCTCTTAATCTAAGAAATTACAATTTTAAGAACAGCGGTTCGTGTTCTGTGTGCACAGCGTCTGCTTCACCTGCTCCTCACTCTTCAAGCTTTGTCAGCTGGTGCCCCTGGCATGGCTCTGGCCGAGGACACCAGCAACCTTCCCACAGCTAACCCCCTGCGCCCTCCTCTCTGCTGGCCTCCTGGCCGCACTTGACTCTGCTGTTTACCCCCTCCTTCCTGAAACCTTTTCCTCCCTCTAGCTTCGAGCACGTGCCCACTACTTCCTCCCTTTCTGCTGTCTGTCCTCTCTCAGGCTCCCTCTGGAGACAGGCCACCCGTAAAGGGTCTGCCATCCATACACTGATGAACTCCAAATCTGTACAGACCTTCCCTCTTTCTCTACCTAAGCCCCATTCATCTCTCAGGTCCCAGCTTAGGCTCCACTTATGGGAAGCACCCTAAGACCTCTGAGATCTGTTATGTGCCCCTCCTGCGGACTGCCGCTGGGCCTACGCGGTACCTCTCCATCACTGTATTTACACCACACTATTTTTGCTTGTTAACTTATCTACTACACTGTCAGTTCCTTCTCTATCTTGTTCAGCACAGCACCTGACAGCACTCAAATAGATGTTAGATGGATGAATTATTAATCCATTCATCACCACAGCACAGTAGCTACCTCCTAACAGGTGTTTAGATGTTCGAGCTCATGAATCCTCTGCCATTTCCAAATAAATCCAATCGCCCTATTTCCGTTATGAAATTACAGAAAGTGCACTTTTCTTGAGATGAAAAACTTCATTAGTCCAGGTTTACTGTCTCAGCTAAAAGAACCAAAAACCAGTACTTTAACAAGTAATCATAAATCTCCCAAGTTTATAAACTAAACATTACCTTGCACAATGTCAATGCTTATCCCAATCATTTAATTACTCTCCTAAAACTCTACCACAGTTTTGGTAAAGAATTTTCTCCCAATATCCTCGTTTTTCCAGCTTAACGCCATCAGAGGCAATTCTCCTGGGATGCAGTGGAATCGCTGAAGCTGACGGCGGGCAACCAGACTGAAGCTAGATGGTGGATATGCATTCATGTGGTCATCACATGTCATAGGCAGTTACCACTGCCAGGCCCCGTTCAGGTAGATACATCGCGTCCACCGTCCCTCAGAGCCTGTTAGTAGGAAGAGACAGTCACTCAACACACAGGGCAATTCCAGCTGTGGTGAGTACAAGGAAAGAAACTGGGTGATGTGATCGAGTAACGGGCTGGTGGAGGGCTACCTTAAGGTGTTTGGGGAAGGTGACTTTGAGAACGGAAGAATGAGGGAGCTAGCTTGTGAGGAACAAGGATGGAGGAGGACGTAAGGCTAGGTATGGCAGGAAGGAACAGCCAAGTGCAAAGGCCTCAGTGAAGTGCTAGTCCTGCTAAGTGTAAATAAGCCAGAGGTCAAATAATACAAAGGTACATTTACAAAAGAGTTTTTAAAATCAACACCTTACTTTTAGCATGACTTCCCTGACGTTTCCATGCAAAAAAAAAAAACACAAAACAAAACAAAAACAAAAAAACCCCAAAAAACCTACTAGCATTCAGGAGGAAAAAGGGGATATTGTATATATAACCTATGAGTAAACGAAGAGCAGATTACAGGAATCAAGCACCACTAAAACCAGAACAGAAGATGTAGGATACATCACATCAGCTCTCCTGCTCCTTCCTGGGCCCAGGGTAGAAATTATTAATCTCCCAGCAGAGTTTGTACGTGGCCTCTGTCCTTCTCAGCAATGCCCTCCTGGCAGTTCCCACTTGCCCTCTCTGTCCTGAAAGCTCAATCATCAAAATGGATGAAATTTTTAAAAAATTTCTTTTTCACGGTCCTTCTTTGGTAAGTATTACGTATCTTCCTGGTTTCAAAAAGATTACCCTGAAAGTGTACTCATTAAAAAAAAGTCTCTCCTCAATGACGCTGGGTCCTCATCATAACCATGATTATTTCATAAAGTAAAAGACACTGAATATTGAGTTTCTAGGCCTCAGCTTCCAAACATGAAAAATGACAGGCTTAGACTAGATGACCTGCGACTCCCTTCGGGCCTATTTCAAGAATTTAAGTTAAATATTTTACATCGGCAGGTTCTTGTACATCGACCACCCAGGAGTCACCGCGTAAGAAGCAAGCCCTTCCCCTGCCGCTCTCGGCCATCTGCTGGGCAGCCACAAAGCAGCCACCACGCGTGAGCGCATCTCCGTCCACGCTGGCCAGTCTGGGGCCCAGATTGTTCCCTGGAACATGGCGTCCAGCGCGACGGTCAGACGCCAAGCGACAAAACCACTGGGGGAGGAGCGGATGCCTTCAACGCCGTCTTCAGGGAGATGGGGGCTGGCAGGCATGTGCCGGGGGCAGTGTTTGTAGACCTGGAACCCACGGTCATCGATGAAGTGGCACTGGTGCCCACCACCAGCTCCTCCCAGGCAAGGAAGATGCTGCCAGGAACTGCCCGAGGGCACCACACCATCAGCAAGGAGATCACTGACCTTGTCTTGGGCCAGATTTGGAAACTGGCCGACCAGTGCACAGGTTTTCGGGGCTTCTTGGTTTTCCACAGCTCTGGAGGGGAACTGGGTCTGGTCTCACCTCCCTGCTGATGGAACGTCTCTCTGTCGATTATGGCGAGAAGTCCACGCTGGAGTTCTCCATTTACCCTCCCCCGGGTTTACATAGCTGTAGGTGAGCCCTACTCCATCCTCACGACCCACACCATCCTGGAGCGCTCTGCTTGTGCCTCATGGTGGACAACGAGGCCATACTGAACGCCGAACCTACGCTAACCTGAACAGGTTGAAAGTTGGCAGAATTACCAGCCTCCCACTGGGGTACCTGTTGTGGAGACCAATCACATAGGCCACAGAGGCTACCTGAACACTGTAACTGTCTCTCCAGATGGATCCCTCTGTGCTTCTGGAGGGAAGGATGGCCAAGCCATGCTGTGGGATCTCAACAAAGGCAAGCACCTTCATACACTTGATGGTGGGGACATCATCAATGCCCTGTGTTTCAGTCCTAACCGATACTGGCTCCGTGCTGCCACGGGCCCCAGCATCAAGATCTGGGACTTGGAAGGCAAGATCATTATAGATGAACTAAAGCAAGAAGTTATCAGTACCAGCAGCAAGGCAGAGCCACCCCAGTATACCTCTCTGGCCTGGTCTGCTGATGGTCAGACTCTGTTTGCCAACTACACAGACAACCTGGTGTGTGTGTGGCAGGTGACCATCAGCACCCGCTAGAAATATGGCAGAGCTCTAGGAATAAAACATTGGTTTTCTGACTTAAAAAAAAAAAAAAAAAAAAGTACAGCGAGCTATGAGCGTGCTGAGCATGGTCATCGCTGACGCCCGGGCTCACCTGGACCACAAGTTTGTTATACGCCATGTGTGCCTCTGTTCACTGGTATGTGGGCGAAGGCATCGAGGAAGGAGAGTTTCCTGCGGCCCGTGAGGACATGGCTGACCAGGATGATTATGAGGAGGTTGGTGTGGATTCTGTTGAAGGGGACGGTGAAGAAGGAGAGGAATACTAACTTCTGATCTGTGCTCTGAAGTTAATTTGTACGTAGCAGTGCATATATTCTCATATACAATTACTGACCTATGCTTTAAAACACAACTTTATTACAGACCCAGGCTGTCCATTTCTCTGAAGGGTCTGAATGGAGTATCCCCTGTCTTAAATGGAAAAAAAAAATCTTTATATTAAAGTATTTCAAGAACACTACTATACTTAAGTGAAATACACAGATCTTTAAAATTAAACTACTCAAAATGATGCCTTTCCTTCAACATCCATACACACACACTGGGTTACATGAGGAATGCCTGCTCTAAACTGCTACTTGGATGAAGAGCAGTACTCTAAACCATGACTTATTTTTTTTTTTAAAGATTTTATTTATTTGAGAGAGAGAGAGCATAAGAGGCGAGAGGGTCAGAGGGAGAAGCAGACTCCCTGCTGAGCCAGGAGCCCAACACGGGACTCGACGGGATCATGACCTGAGCCGAAGGCAGTTCTTAACCAACTGAGCCACCCAGGTGCCCCAATCATGACTTCTTTTCAACAGTGGTTCCTCTTTTGGACAATTTCTCTTCTAGATTTCTACAGCTAACAGCAAACCACAAAACTAGAGCTGGTTTTTACTGAATTACAAGTCTAAGGTAGTAAAATAAGACTGCCAACGCTAGCAAAATAAAGCACAATGCAAAGAGCTAACTTAAAGTCTCTCATGCCAAAAACAGAAGAATGAATCATACATGATCAAATGAAGAAATTTAGGCTACAAAGCAAGCAAGAGACAGAAAAAGTTTAGAAATAAGGGACTCATAACATCTGAAGATCGAGAAGACAGGAAAGCTCCATGGCCAGGTCCCAACAAGGCACCTTCTACGAGACACGAAATATACCTCTGACCAGATTTCTGCCAGCTTCTTCTTCTTCCCCTTCCAGCTGGTCCTTCCTGCAAATCAATAACATGACCAAGAGGGAAAACCAAGTGGATGAGGAAAAGTGCAGTTGGACTAGCATCCCTGGGACTGAGGCACTCGACACATGTCCTTACTTCATTTTCAAAAGAGCCCTATGGTAGCAGCTGACTCAGCTTTGCAGGAAAAACAGCAACTCACACCAGTTACACACACTAAGTACCTGGCCCTCAGGTCAAATGACCGGTAAGTGGAAGAAGTGGCATCTAACCCGGGTCTCTGCCCTGCACCCTCCGTGATATCGGAGCCCCGGACTGATCTTCCTGCCGCGACCCTCCCTCTCACACAGCCATCTCCGCAGGCTGCGGCAAAGCTCCCTTGATAAAACACGCATCAGTCACATATCAAAAACTTATCATACCCCATCACCTAAGATCAAGTTCAAATTCATTCCCTGACATTCAAGGTCCTCCATAATCTAAAAATCTGGCCTATCTCCCATTCCATAATACCACCCCCCCCTCCGGCCCCCATTACTCTTTCTCACCCAGTAAGACACCATCAGGATCAACGACATTCATGCCCTCTTCTTCCCTCTTTACTGGACCACCCCCCTCCCCATTTTGTTAAGGTTTTCATCCCTCCCTCTTGTGAGTCAGGTGAGGTACCCCATGTCTACCCTAGGGAGTGATCTAGCCTAGGCCAGGGTTTCCCAGTGATGATACAATTCGTATTTGGGCAAGGGGAGGACGATTCTTCATACTCTTTGAGACCTTCCTGCACATCAGAAGTTTAACATGCCTGCATAATTACAGATGAGGAACCCTAGCCCAGAGTGATTAATGGGCCTGTGGTCAAAGAGCAAGAAAGCGGTGAAGCCAGGATCTCCACCCAGGACTGTGAGATGCAACGCCTGGCCTCTCTAGCACCCCCAGGGGCTCCTGGCTCCTACTCAGAAAATCATCTGAGTATCTACTACTAATCACTCCAAAAGAATATGAAAAGGAGAAAGGAAGAGCCATTGTCCTCCAAGGCTAATGGGAGATACGGTGTGATCAAGAGAACAGACTAGTAAAACAGAGGCGGCACAGTGGGCAGGGAGGGCGGTGCTAGCCGGGAGGGCCCAAAGCAGAGGAAGCAGGGGAGAGGGTGTTCTGAACTTCAGTGAGGTGGTCTGTATGTTTCATTTTCATATTGAGTATGGTCCTGTACAGCTGTTTGTTTTTTTACAACACTAAAACCATGAGGTCCTCAAGACAGAGACTGACTTTACTTTTTTTTTATACCCTCTAAGGTAAGCCTAGTTGCTTAAAGTTGCAAATTCTAGTAAGCAAAGAACATAGGCTAAACTGAAATGCCGAGAAAGATTATGTGCCATCACCACCAGGAGAACATTTTTTTTCCCCATAGGATTAAGTCCACCCTTACTTCTAGGGTAGAAGGAAAGACTACCGCAGAAACTGTAACTATCAAGTTCCCCATACTTGTAAGATCTCTAAATTTAAAGAGCTATACCATTCTTGTTTGTAAAACAGGAACAAAAAATGGTACTGCATTACTTTAGTAAACTACATTCTATTGCTTTTCAGGTAATTGCCTAAAACCCATTTTCATTGAAAATGTCACAAAAGCACTTCTGATCATTGTCTAAATCATGATCTGGCCCTACTGAGACAGGGATTTACTCAAGGCAGCTGGTCAAGGTACGAGAGTAAGGAACAAACACTGAATTCAGCATGTCCCATCAATTCTCCTCAAAGCCCACAGGTCCAGGAGAACCACAGTCCAAGCTAAGCAATCAACAATGAGAGGGTCATGCAGCCTGTACCCCCTAGGATTACCTTCCCAGATTCGCCCATGCGCTCTGTGCTCTGTGCAAAACATGCTGAAAGTGAAGAATGAAAATACCATCTTATTTTAAGAATACATAAATATACATTTACCAATCCTGTGATAGAAAGCCAAGGTCTGATTGGAGTTTAACCAACTACAGGTATCACTTGGAGGTCACATCTGATGTAATAAATGACTATATAATCCCATTTTCCCCTAATCCTAAGCATCAGCCCATTGCTGGCACCACCTGAACTGCACAGAAAGGCTTTAGAAGGGCCTTGTCTGCTGAGGATTCTGTTAAGGGCAGTGAGTCGACAAGAGGAAAGCAATACATATATACTAAAACCTGTGGTATGTGAGCTGTAGACACACTACCTATGGCCAAATTTGCTTTAAATTAACACTGGCAGATTCATACAAATGCCAATCGATAATCATTTTAACCTTCACCTAAGCATCTAGTTAACTAGATGGCAGTCCTTATCTTAATGCATTATCAAGACATTTAAATACAGTGAATTATTAACTTACGAGTATGTTTACAACCCTGCCTACCATTAGACTGCATATTTCAAGATATTAAGGATTTATTCTCAATTTTTACGTATGATAGGAATAATTGTTATGTTTTTAAAAAGTCTTATTTGGGGAGGTATATGTTGCAATATTTTTTTTAAAGATTTTATTTATTTTATTTTATTTTTAAAGATTTATTTATTTATTTATTTGACAGAGAGAAAGACAGCAAGAGAGGGAACACAAGCAGGGGGAGTGGGAAAGGGAGAAGCAGGCTTCCCACGGAGCAGGGAGCCTGATGCAGGGCTCGATCCCAGGACCCTGGGATCATGACCTGAGCCGAAGGCAGACACCCAATGACTGAGCCACCCAGCCGCCCCAAGATTTTATTTTAGAAAGAGAGAGAACATGAGCAGAGGGAGAAGAGGGAGAGGGACAAGCGGACTCCACACTGAGCGAGGAGCCTGACGCGGTGCTCAATCCCACGACCCTGAGATTATAACCTGAGCAGAAATCAAGAGCTGGACGTTTAACTGACTGAGCCACCCAGGTGCCCCTATACTGAATATTTATCATGAAATAATACATCTGGAATCTGCTTCAAAATAATGAAAGAAGGGGAAAATAGGTGAGGAAGGTTTGAGGAAAGAAAACCGTCAGGAGTTGATAGCTATTGAGGCTGGTGATGGGTACATACTGAGGGGGTTCACTGTACTATTCTTCTTTTGTCTGTGTTTGAAATTTTTATAAATCGAAAAGTTATAAAATAAAAATACTGCATCATGCCAAACTGCTTAGACATATCTTAAAAATCACAGACATGAAGTTTTAAAGCACAATATGAAATTTCCCTAATATATTTCCTATCCCCCCCAGAAGAAAAATCGCTCATGGAACCAGGAAAAGAATAAAGATTCATTGAATCTCAAAAGCCTAAGCCAGGATGGTGCCACTTCTTCTAAGCTTGTGAGAACATTCTGACCCAATTCTCGGTGTTCTCGTTGGTTTCTCACACTACTGTTCTCAAAATTGCTGAAGCTTCAGAAAGGTTACTGCGTTAGCAAGCGGTGATTCCAGTTAGAGGACGAATGACGTTGGCTGTAACCGGTTATAAATATTTTTGTATCTGTTTAAAATCTTTCAGTCTGGAAATATTTTACTTATTGTCTGGGTGAACACCAGTTAAGCTGATAGGATGATGATTGCCAAACCAACTATCCTATACTCCAAATAAGCAAGTGGGCTGATAGGTGTATGTATTTGCTCTCAGTATAACCAGGAGACATCTGAGAAGTTCTACCAGATAGAATCTAAAATTCACTGTGCTCAAGATTTTTTAAATTTCGTTTAAAAGCTATTTTCAACTGACCTGACTGAGGTAGTCTTCGTATATAAAATAATTTATCTATTTTTAATTCTGCTGTAGTTAACGTACAGTTATATTAGTTTCATTTACAATACAGTGATTCAACAATTCCATACATTACTCGGTGCTCATCACGAGACGTGTGCTCTTAAAATACAATTTTTTTTAAAAAAGGATACTCTATCAATCCTTTTATAGCTCTTTCATTGACTGGCTTAAACGTTGCACGGAATTTTCCTAGTGCGACTTTAATTAAATACAATCAAGTTTCAAGAAGAGATAAAATAAGACTTAAGTCCAATAATACGAAAGTGAACAGAGTATTAACTCCCCACGGTTAGCTTTGGCCAATAAAGGCAAGCCCAAGTCCTTAAAAAAAAAAAAAAGAAAAAAGAAAAAAGCCAGCGGTTTCACATCTCACTCGGAATGAATGTCACAGGCCTCGTCACCCCCACAGGACCCCAGGCCCAGCCAGGGCCCCGCTGCTCTTCCCCAGATGCTGCTGGGGTGGGGAACAGTGCTCGCACCTTCCTTCAGGCCTTTCCTGGCGGACCACCTTCCCAGCGAGGCTCCTCTGGCCGCCCGGCTAGCGCTGGGTGTGCACGCGCGCTCACGGACAACTTTTCTTCCCAGCTGTAGCTGCCGACTTACCGCGCTGGTTCCCTGCCATCCCCTCCACCAGCAGAAGGCAAGGTTCACGAGAGCAGGGCCTTTTAGTTCTTTCCTTCAGTGTTGTATTCCTAATGCTCCAACAGTTTCTGGCCCATTGCAGGTATTCAACAATGTACTGAAGGAACAGGGTGACACGGTGACCCACCACGGCGAGGATGCGGCGACATGTGCCATCTGAGCTCAGGGAGCGGGTCTGCTCAACAGCACAGCTCTTCCAGCAAAGCCAGCGCACTCTATGGACTTATTCACACTTCTGTCCTCCACGCCTCTAACGTTTGGCCTCGTTTCTATCTTGTTTTGATGTATGAAAGGTAATTTACCAGAATTAACAAGGCACACCAAGGCCATGGCAAAAGACTCAAACTCAAATTGTCAGACACCCCAATTCGGAAACTTATCCGAAGTTTTGGATAAATATGAAGCAGACAGAAAGGCTGATCGCCTCCACAAGTGTAACATGAAATTAGAAAAATTTGTTTCAGCTCCCTGAATACAGTTAAGGTGGACCCTTGATCTTGGGGTCTAACAGATCTTAGTTTACAGTTTACTGTTATAACAATACAAATAACACCACTGAACCATAACAACTCTCCTTTGCTATAAGCCAGACACTTGGTAAGCCCTTTGCATGAATTTTTACTTAATTCTTGAGATGATTTGGTAGAGACAGTATTTTTGAAATGTCATTCTTTCATCCCTAGGGTTTTTGTTTTCCTTGTCTTTACTCCCACCTCCCCAAACCCAAATCATCAGTGCCCACTGCCTCGGGAGAGGGACAGGACATGGCAGAACATAACAGCCTTCCTGGTTGTGGGTTCCAAAGGCCCTAAGAAGAGGGAACGCTAGGTCTACACAGAAAACACACTTGTGAGAAATACTGCACATCTCCACCTCCACTCCCAAAGCCTGGGGTAGAGACGGAGAAGTACAGAACCGAGTCTAGAGGCAATGGTGAGCCCGGGGCAGAGCCCCAGTGAAACAGCAAATCGACCGGAGGGGAACAGCTATTAATGCTTTAGGACAGACAGTGTCTGAGCTTTGCAGAGATTTGTGTCCCCGAGAGCATGACAACAGCAGCATGGTTCCCACCCCTTCGGGCACAGCAAGGGCATGTGGAGAGAACCACCCCATTGAGGGCGCAGACCAGAAGAACAAGCAGTACCTCCACGCTGCGCAGAGAGGTGGTGGAGGGCAGGGTGGAGTCCCCCCCGGGCCATGACGTCATAAAGGGATCCCCATCCTCAAATCATACCTAAGCCTAGGCAAGAGGAGGAGGTCTGTGAACTCACAGATGACAGTTCTACTTCCCCAGGAGGATGGGGACATACTTTGCTGTAAATTATTAATGGAAAATAAAGTTCTATGTTTTCCCTACCTGGACTGTGGCATTCACACTTGAGTTCATATTATTACTTGCATTTTACAGATGAGGAACCTGAAGCATTAGGTAACTTTCCTAAGTAACGCAGCTGGATTTGATCTGGATTGGAGCCCACACTCCCAATCTCTGTGCTCTACCACCACCATTGCACTGAAACAAACTTCATGATTATATAAAATCATATTTGTTCATTGAATCTCTAATAGAAAACCCAGTAAAATCTCTCTCCTAAATATAAAACTTAAGGTAAAGCAAATACTAATAAGGGAAATGGGCTTTTATGCAATAACTACCTTGAATCATAGAGGGATCTCAACAACCTCAAAATTAATTTTCTAAAGATTTATTTATTTATTTGAGAGACAGAGAGAGAGAGAAAAAGAGCACATGTGCACGTGGAGGGGAGGGGCAGGGGGAGAGGGAGAAGAAGACTCTCCGCTAATCAGGGAGCCCCACGTGGGGCTCGATCCCAGGATGCTGGGATCATGACCGGAGCTGAAGGCGGACGCTTAACCAACTGAGCCACCCTGGCGCCCCTCAAAATTAATTCATACACACATACATCACCCCACAAACAACAGTAATTATACAAAAGGACAATTCATTGATAAGTACATAATGCCAAAAAAGCACCTGAAGTCATTCACATTTGTAAATGTATTCATATTTTATTAATAACACAACTGACATATATTTTTATTTTTATTTTTATTTTTATTTTTTTTAAAGATTTTATTTATTTATTTGACAGAGAGAGACATAGAGAGAGACGGAACACAAGCAGGGGGAGTAGGAGAGGGAGAAGCAGGCTTCCCCGTGGAGCAGGGAGCCCGATGTGGGGCTCGATCCCAGGGTCCTGGGATCACGACCTGAGCCGAAGGCAGACGCTTAACGACTGAGCCACCCAGGCGCCCCTGACATATATTTTTAAAACAGTACTGCAAATGTGAAAAAGACACACAGTCTATGACCATGTTTCATCCCCTGAAAGCTTACCAGCTGGGAATCCCTAATCTGGAATAAACTGGAGGTATTGCAAACCAGGCATATAAAACATTCCAAGCATTTTAATTAAATTGGTAAGCTGGAAATCAAAAGATCTGTTTTAACCATTGCGAGACTATGTCCATGACCATGGGGTTTCAGAAAGAGCCATGCCTGACTCTCTGCATGGCACGTGTTGTTTACGGATTCCTAAAAGTGGCTTAGTGTGATCAGTCTCAGATAAAATTTTAGATCACAACCAGGAGACTGGAAACATCTGCCTTCTGTGAAATGTACTTTCTGTCCTGGAAGGGCAGTCACTAATAAAGAACTCTTTAAAAGAGACTTCGATCTGAGTATGTGTCCTCATTTATCTGACACTGCTCGCTAATGTCCTCAAGTAGACAAACGATCCTCCTCTGCATTATGACTAATGTATGTCTGAGTACTTAACACTTTTATTTTTACGTGAACTTGTCAAACTGCAGTCTCTTTATTGCCATAAATTCATTTCTACTCAAGTTTCCAATGAAAGTGAATGCAGGAAAATGGAGGGTCTCATTTCTGACTCCAGCTACTGTGCCGTAACAGTACATGGCATGTACTTCTATAGCAGCAACTGTAACATTTAAAGACACTGAAGTGTTTTCCCCATTAGACTATAAATCTTCAAGAGTAGAAAAATATACATGCATTCTGCACTTACAGGATTTCTAAGTTCTGGGTAAAGGCCGATGAATGAAAAAACAAACAAACAAACCCATGCATTTGACTTTTGGTGGCATACTTAACATTTCCCATACATATCCCTTGGTATTTATGTATAATAATAGTCTAATGTTAACATTAGACAGTGAAAATTAAATGTATTCCTTCCATAACTAATAGTATATACTGTTTATGGATCCAACAAATAGACTTTGAATGGCGTAAATGCCAACAAAGATTTTAAAGTATCTGTCTGCACCATTCTTATTTAGACACGTGTTAATTCTCAGAGATACTACAGGCAAGTTACGGGATCACAGACAGGCTCTCAATCACAAAGCTATCTTCCAAAGCACACCTTTGCCTTCATGCATGGGTCCAAACCAATCAATTATTCAAAGGTAGACTTTTCTAGTTCAGGGATTACACTCACCTTTTCTCTCGCTTTAATAAATACTTTAACAAAATTTTACTTCTTTAAGGCTTTTAAGGGGGCCTCAGGGGGAAACCTGGATAGTTTCTCAATAGAAAATAGGAAAACTGAATCTGATGCAATTCAAATTCACCAAAATAGGCACACACTACAAATAAGATTTTTTAAAAACTTAGATTTATGCAAATATCAGATTATATGAATTATAAAATAATTAAAAAACAGGATTCCTTTACCTAGTAATCCCCCCAGTGAATTAGAAATTGTTATCATTATACACATACTCCACAAAGCAAATAAATGAAGGCTGATTACTGTAAACTCTAATGATATACACAATTGTATGGCCTGTTTTCTGTCTAACTAAAAGCAAGAGGAGGGGCACCTGGGTGGCTCAGTCATTAAGCGTCTGCCTTCGGCTTGGGTCATGATGCCAGGGTCCTAGGATCGATCCCCACATCAGGCTCCCTGCTCAGAGGGGAGCCTGCTTCTTCCTCTCCCACTCCCTCTGCTTGTGTTCCCTCTCTCGCACTCTCTGTCAAATAAATAAATAAAATCTTAAAAGCAACAGGAAGAGTTAATAATTAGCCACAGCCACCTCGCCACCATAATCATCAGAGACCCATTTGCATACAATACAAATGACCCACAAGTTGACAAGAAACCAGCCTTTCCTTGAGAATACCAATCTTTTGATTTTCAGCATCACATGAATCCAGTTAGAAAAGTCACTGAAACACAAGAAACCATACTCACTGCTCACAGGCATGCTACTGTGCCCCCCCCGCCCCCATTCTAGAGCCCACAGATTTTCAGGATGAACCAAGAATAGAACTTGGGTTCTGATTCTTTTTTCATCTTCCACAGAGTGGTTCTCAAAGTGTGGTCCCAAACCAGCAACATCAGCATCACCTGGGAACTGGGAGAAATGCACGTTCTGAGCCCCACCTCCTGAATCCGAAACTCTGGGGTTGGAGCCCAGCAATTTGTGATTTAACAAGCTCTCTGGATGGGGGGCTGCGGCGCAGCTGGGGTACCACAGCTCTACCATCAGTGCCTCAAGTCTCGGAAACACGATCACAGCTCATAAAATATCCACGCACTTGAGTAAGAGTCCAATTTCTCCCTCAGAAGGAAGCTTATTACCACTGCCATAATCTTTCTTTACAGCAGAGATTGCTAATGAGTCAAAGAGGGGAGTCTAAGGAAAACTACCACTTGCATTTTAGAGATCTGTTACTTTCATAACACAAACTATAGAAACAGAATGAGATGTTTTGAATTATCAGAAAGGGGAATGGTTTTCAAAATATTACAGATAGAGCAGTCAATACTAGAAGTAGTTTAAGTATCAGAATTCTATACACAATCTCCATATTCTTTGGTATCATTTTGGCTTTAAATGATTAAGATAAATCAATATAAGGTAACTACAAATCTCAGTAATCTAGAAGCTACTGGGTTTTCTAGGTTGGGGAGGTGGTTTGAGGACATTGAATGTGCTTTACTAACTGGGCAGGGCAATCACAAGACAAAGTCTGACACATCAACAAAAAGGCTGTAAAATCTTAAATTCAATTCTCGACTCCAAAATCTTATGAAGGCAGGGAACATAAGGAAGTGATGAAAACCCAGTCCTGCCCATTGAGGGCTAGAAGCCCTGCTTCCCTCAAGCTCCTGAGGGAAAGGGCACAGTCAGGCAGGTTAAAATTACAAAAGTATTTATAAAGCACCAATTTTTAGTAACTTCAGGTTCGGTGCTGGTTTTCAGTTATTTTTAAAAATTAAAAAACATACTTTCTCTCCTTTGGAAGAAGAAAACACGGTGCTTAGGGAAGTAAAATAGAATTTTAAGTTTCCATTTGTAATCCTGCATGCATTAGCATTTTTCTATTGAAGTGCCACTTACTATTTAAAAGCATTAATTAAAAACACTTTTTTCATCTTAGTATAAATTCAAAGCAAATTAACAGAAGGTGGGTAAGTTTGGGAACCTGCGTTCAGGGCCCGGTTAATGACAATAAGGAAACATGGGAAAGAACTTGTTTTCTTCCACATTACAAAAGCAACAAATATTCATTACTCAAAATCTTGAGAATTCAAAACAGGCTAAAAGATGAAACAGAAGCTCCTGGGTGCAGCCACCATGAGACAGACCAATCATATTAACACATAGATCTACATTTTCAAGCCCTCTTCTGTGAATTTGCGTTAGAAAATACATTTAAACTGACGTTTAACTGGTACATTTCAAACAGCTCCTTAATTTTTGACTGTCAACTCCCTTAGGCAAGGATCCAGATCTTATCATCCTTCCAGCACAAGACAGGCACAGAGAAGCTGAAGTATCTGCTCAACTGGGTAGCCTGGTTCCTACAAGACAGTCTGGTCTTGCAGACTGCCAAGATGTGTTATAGACGTATCTTCAAAGTGACTGATGTGATAGAATAAGGGCAAAACTTCACTCCGTGAATTTAAGAAAAAACCAGACGTTTCAAGACTCAGCTCCTTAGAAAGCCCTGTGGGCTTGAGAAGCAGCACCAGGAGCCCCCACTGTGCCCAGCAGAGAGCCAACACTCCAGGAGCTACAACTTTGGGAAGTGCTCTCTGAGGCTAGGATGAGGCCTTTTATGCCGACATCCCAAGTGCAGCAGAGGGCCTGGCACTGAGCTCATTCGGAGTTCAAAGGAAGGAGGTCGGGAATGATGACGGGTAACAGCTCCCAGATAAATGGTGCATTTTTCACCTTCCTTAACTTACCCCTAAAGTTTGGAAGTCTCTTTGACGTCAAGAACCACCACCAACAGGTGATTTTGCCTCCTGCCTCTGCAGGTAATGATACTGTATGACTCCATTTTCAGAGACTAAAAATAGCTTAGAAGAATTGAGTCATACTGAGTAACATCCTCAAGCACTGTATTTACAATATCTAAAAATGAATAAGTAGGGCTAAATCCATCATGTGCTTTTAATAGTCAACAAGAGGGGTGGGGAAGAAAAGAAACCCCAATTGGAAAGTGAAATATGCCCACCACAGTCTGTTATTTTGATCACTTGACTTAAGGTTTGGTTTCCACTAAAATGTGTAACTACTTTGTTTTTTACCTTTTTCCCCTCCAAAGAAGAGACTGACTCTATGTGTGCACATATTCCCTTCCCTCACTTTACAGTCTGTTATAAAGAATGCTATGACTTGGGGCGCCTGGGTGGTTCAGATGGTTAAGTGTCTGCCTTCGGCTCAGATCATGATCCCAGGGTCCTGGGATCAAGCCCCACATCGGGCTCCCTGCTCAGCGGGGAACCTGCTTCTCCCTCTCCCTCTGCCACTCCCCCTGCTTGTCCTCTCTCTCTCTCTCATATCAAATAAATAAATAAAATCTTAAAAAAAAAAAAAAAGAATGCTATGACTTGGGAGGGCGCCTGGATGGCTCAGTCTGTTAAGCGCCTGACTCTTGATTTCAGCTCAGGTCATGATCTCAGGGTCGTGAGATCGAGCCCCACGATGGGCTCCACACTAATTGGGAGCCTGCTTGAGGACTCCCTCTCACTCCACTTCCCCCACTTAATGCACATGCATGTGCTCTCTGTCTCTCTAAAATAAATAAATCTTTAAAAAAAAGCTCTGACGTGGATTTTGTTCCAGCACACATGGCAGGCCAATACCCTGAACCACCCACCACCAGACTAAACACTAAAGTGCCGAATACTAAAAGCAAAAGACACACACATAAACACCTTTTAAAACACATTGCTGAGTCAGCACAAAAGGAAAGTCTCTAGAGAGGTCACAGAGGCATCGAGAGCAGAAACCCTGGGAGAAAAATATGTGTTGAGACAGGATTCCACTCCAGGAGTCTCCTGCAGACCCTGAGTTTGAGACCCCAGAGACCCTGAGTTCGAGTCTGTATGCCACAGGCAGTCCTGGGGGAGGTAGGAGAGAGAGATTCCTGTGTTAAGCTAGACACTGGCAGCCCAAAAGGACTTCAGTATAAGGGGAAAAGAGAAAATCTGTCATTCCAAAGTGGGCAGCAAGGAAACTTGTTTTATCATCGACCCAAGTAGAGAAATAAGGGAAATTTCCCCTGACATCTGAAGTATTTCTGCTACCAGAACGGATGGAAGAACACTGAGCCAGGAATTAAAGTGGCCACAAGAATGTAGTGTCCCCAGGAGACCGGCATAAGCAAAGACAAATTCCCTCTGGAAGACTAACTTCAATCTAGTTATCAAAATTCCCTCAGATGAAGTTCCAAGGAAAATGAGCAACTCACAGGAAAAACACACACACACAAACATACAAAACACACAAGAAAACAAGGCACCATGAGTAAGAGTGAGCAGAAACAGATGGCTGAGTTAGACTTCAGATACCAGAACAGACACAAACTATAAATGTTTAATATGCTTAACAGAAGCTTAAACATATGAGCAAAGAGTGGGACTATAAAGAATGACCAAGCAGATTTGAAAGAGAACCAAATATAATTTCTAAAAACAGAATATAATTGAAATAAAAGTAATGGATAAAAGAGCAGATGAGGCCCAAAGAAAGAGTAGTGAACCGAAGGTAAGAGCCAAAGAAATGATCCAGAATGCAGCACAAAGAGAAAGAACATGGCGGGCTGAAAGTAAGAAGTTAGAGGTCCTCTGGACCCTGTCACGCTAATTCGAGTTCCAGAGAGAGAGAATGGGGAAGAGGCCTGTTCACGAAATAATCACTTCTGGGAATTCTCTACAACTGCACTCCCCACCATGGCAGCCATTAACCAGGAGTGGCTATTTAAGTTAAAAATCGAAACACAGTTCCTCAACTAACCACATTTCAAATTCTCATTAGCCACACGTGGCAGGCAGCTGCCATATGGGACTGCACAGATGTAGAACATTTCCATGGCCACAGAAAGTTCCACTAACTGCACTATTTTAGAACGACTGAAATTCCCATCGTCAGACCCAACATACCCAATAAAGTTCACGCAATGCCAATACCATCCACACATGGATGGACTGAGGTAACACTACACGGTAGGAAGGCTACCCAGAAGGTCTTAAAAACAGGCAGAGAGGAGTCAGGCCATCTTACAGGAACAACATCAGACCACTAACTTCTTAGGAGTAACTCTGAGAGCCCACAGAAGACAGGGGAACACCACCTACAAATATGCTGAGAGAAAACACGGTCAACCTAGAAACCTACCTTTCAAGCAAAATACATTTTCACAAACAAAATATTTACCAACAACAAATTTCCCCAATGGAAATTCCAAAGAATTCATTTTAAGCAGAAGGAAAATCATCCCAGAAAGGAGGACTGGAATGTAAACAGGAATAGTAAGCAAAGATATGGTAAAATTTGATTAAATCTAAATAAACATTAGCTGTATAAAAAATAAAAAGAACATCTAATTTTTGGTGGAAAAGACAGAATTACAATACTGGGCAGTAACTGACCATATTGCGGCACATGATTGGAGTTAAATATCTTAAGGCCTTTTTGTAATTCAGTAGGAGGGTAATGATAGTGAGTAACTTCGGACTTTAATTTAGATATGGTAACATACATGCTTATGGTAACCACTGGAAAAAAAATTTGACATATAGGACAAACCTTCCAAACAGTTGGGGAGGGAGCAGGTAAAATAAGAGGAAGAGGGAAAAAAATCCCCAGTCAGTCCATAAGATGGTAGCCAGAAATCCAAACACATCAGTAAACACAAATAAAAGCAGACAAAACTCTCTAGTCACGAAGATCACCAGACTAGATAAAAAGGTAAAATTCAGCTATAGGCTTTTATATACCCGGCAAATATTTACCAAAAGAAAGCTAGAGAAACCACATTAACTTTAGACAAAATTGTCCTTAGGAAAAAACACACTAGATAAAGAGCGTCCCTTCATACTGGTAAAAAGTTCAATTCACCTTGAAGATGATACTAATTCTAAACTTAAATTTTTTTTTAAAAGATTTTATTTATTTGAGAGAGAGAGCATGAAGGGGGTGGGGGGGCCCGCAGTGGGAGAGGGAGACGGAGAAGCAGGCTCCCCGCTGAGCAGGGAGTCTGGTGCAGGACTCCATCCCAGGACCATCATGACCTGAGCCCAAGGCAGACGCTTAATTGACTGAGCCATCCAGTCACCCTAGCACCCTAATTTTAGAGAAGTTTTTTTAAAACACCATTTTAATTAACATCTCCATCAAGTAGACAAAAGATCAGCTATATACAATGGATCAAGTAGAGTTTGTAATGATACAGATGCGAACAACATAATTACTAAATTCAATCTAATGGTCATACACAGAACACACACATCGATTAGGGGATATACATATTGTTTTTTACAAACAGGTGGCACATTTATGAAGTGGACTATAGGAGAGGTACAAAGTTAACCTCAACAAATTTTCAGGTATAGTATGACTATCAGATTCCCTGTTCACAATGCAATTAAGTTAGAAATCATTAACAAAAAGATAAACAGGAACACCCTATACTTTTGGAAATCAAACACACTTCTAACAACCATGGGTTAAAGTGTCAGAAGTATGAGGTTTGTTCCAAGTACCTGAAAACATAAGAACCAACTTCTCACTAGTAAAACTGAATTGCTAGATATAAAAAAGATTTCTAGTACCTAAACTGTAGATGTGTATTTTCCATTGTGCATGTATACTTAAAAAGGAAAAGTTTACTAAAACACACAATTAGGGGTGCCTGGGTGGCTCAGTCAGTTAAGCGTCTGCCTTCGGCTTAGGTCATGATCTCAAGGTCCTGGGATTGAGCCCCATATCAGGCTCCCTGCTCAGTGGGGAGCCTCCCCCCCCCCCCTCCCCATGCCTGCCGCTCTGCCTACTTGTGCTCTCTCTCTCTCTCTCTGTCAAATAAATAAACAAAAATCTTTTAAATAAAGGTGCACAATTCAAAGAATGTCAGTTAGCAGTCACTACTCTCCCTGGAATATCTTTCGCACTTTCAAACTGGACAGCAAGGAACCCAGGCAAGAAAATTCAACATTCATTCATGTAGTAAGTTTATCAAGAGCCTCGCCTGTGCCACTCACATAGGATTCAAAGGTGAGCAGGCACACACAGTCCCAGCCTCCTGGGGCTGAGGGCATCCTATAGGACACAGCCACTACACCCCAAAACATATAAAATGGCAGCCGGACATACAATGTGACCCTGTAACAGAGGTGGGCGGGGATCAGGAAAAGCTTTCCGGAGGAAGGGATGCTTTGAGCTGAAACATAATGTGTTTAAAAAAAGGGGGGGGGGCGCATCTGGAGGGAAGAGGCGAGAGAAAAGCATTCCAGAAAAGAACAGAACAGTATAGGCGAAGTTGAAAAGGTTTAGGTGGGCAATCAAAGTAAAATTATAATTTTCAGATGGTCAATACAAAAACAGGGGGCAGTAGAAAACTGCAAAAAATTTCTGCTTTCTCAACTATTCCTTTCTCAGTAAGAACGTGGTTGACCTTTCTACTATCAGTATTTGGGGGGAGGGGGGCTATACAAATACTGTCCAGATATTCTATTTATTAGACATTAAAACTTACTTTTACACAAAATTGAATAGTTAGCATTTTCTATACTGTTTTAAAAAAATGATCAAATCCAACGTTAATCCTTAAGGCTTAACGTTGGATTTGAATAGAAAGAATAGGAAGATATTTCTTTCACTCAAATAAAGAGGTTTTTGCTAGGATAGACTACAAAATATGCTTTCTACTGTTCTCACTAATGTATATCATGGAACAGTCCTGAGCAATTCACTCATTTCCTACCAGTATTTTCAATACTCCACACCCACTCAATTTAACCAAGCACTACCACAAATATTTTACTTTAGACACTGGAGACAGAAAAGAAAAAAAAAAGTGCATCTGGGACTCCCAGAATCTTGTTAAAATAACTCCCAAAACTGACTATGTAAGCACAAAAGGAACCAACTTAGTTACCAAAGGTTAACTCTGACAAGGAAATTACAGCTAAATTATATAGCTATGGATAAACTTCCATTAACTATTTTCATGCTCCTTTTGATATATGTGGGCAAAAAAAAAAAAATTTCTTTCCTAAGACTTAATAAATAAAACTTAATTTATTCCTAAATCCACCATAGGATTGTGATAAAATTCAACCTTCTGAGGTTTCTAGTAGAAGCCAAGACTTTACAGGCATATTAGCCCTTCACTGTATTTGTTAAGGGAGATAAGATTGGAGTCAGAATAATGTACCTACTTACAACTGAATTCAGCATCCTCCTGAGCAGCGATTAGAAACAAAGAAGATAATCCCTTTAAATGTGCAGGTACTGATGAACTTTCTTTGGCAGGGAAGAATTGCCCAATTAAAGTTTTTCTTCTAAAAGATAATTTCTTTCCCTTGTGAACATAGCAGATTTTTTTTTTTTAATCACGACAGTTCAAAGATAACTGCGTTTTCGAAAAAATACATCAGAGCAATACATAAGAAAATTAGTTCTGAAAAGAACTGAGGCCATTCTCTGGTAAATTCAAAGGAAAACTCAACACCACCTAACCCAGCCAGTACTGTTGTTTATTTTTCATCTCTTGAGGCTTGCAGCAAGAGCCTGAATGCCATGGAAGTCTGAAATTTCATAAAAAGTTAGAAGTTATTACTGAGTGTGTCCTCACCACCTACCCCATTAAAGGGAGAAAAGGAAAAACTCCAAACTACTCAGATGTCAGCAAAGGCAGGGGTGTGGTTGCAGGGGATTGGAAAAGAAGGACAACTTTCCTCCCTGGTAATAATTAAAAAAATGAGACTGGTTTGACACAAGGATCACCAGGAAGTAGATCAGAAAACGGAGTTAGGGTCCTCTTTTAACAAGTGCTTCTTTGCTCTTCCTTTCTTTTTTTAAATTGGAAGTGGCTCGTCATCATGTGAACATGGAGATGAATACCTTGTGGAAGAGTGATTAAAAAGGAGACAGACAGACAGACTTGGAATCACGGGAATTTGCCTCCAGAGTGGTGTAGGTAATAAGGTAGGAAGTGCTTACACGCGCTTTAAGGCTTGGTTTAGTGAGGACACATGCAAAAAGGATCACTGCCCTTTTCAACTTTACAGAAAAACTAAGTTCAGTTTTAGCTATCCAATAAAGTTTTCATTATGTATACCTGCACTAGTTGCTAACCTGATTGAAAAGAGGGTTCAGGTAACATGCATCAGCAGATCAGAGGGCAAAACACCACAACACTGACCTCCACTGAACACGTGTCTACCACAAACAGCTTTTAAGGTTGCAAGATGAGTGCAAAATAGGACCTGTAATTGGCCATTTCTGGGATGTTTGGCAACAAACCTCAAAATCAGATTTCCTTAGAAATCCTTGGCTTGAGTTTTGTTTTTAAAAAGATCAACACAAAATTATGTATGTTAAAAAGGTACCAAGTTCTACCACACCTAATAAAACCAAGGAAGAGCATAGCCATTAATGTATTAACAAGCAGGTAATTATTTCAGTAACAGCAGACGACAGGTTCCCTGGAGGAAAATCTCCATTTTTAAAAAATAGACACTGCACCTAAGCAGATTCAGAGCACAAATTATAACAGTCTGAAATGACATCAGACAATCTGATCTTTCAAAGGGATTTCAAACTGTATATCCTTTCCTAAATGATCCTTGATCCAAAAACAAAAACCCAACAAAAAAATAAGGTTTTCGCCAACCCAAAAGCTCAGAGATTTCAAACATAAATATGGAAGAGGGTGCCGATGCTGTATTAAGGTGCCATCACAAAAACTATTTGCAAAAGTCAAGCCATTCCTCAAAGCACATCACCAGCTCTGGGAAGGGTCTCCCACCGGGAGTCCTCAGTGATTGCGACTTTCCCAGTTACTACTTTGCATGACGAACTAAAGAAAACGCCCCAGGAAAGGCGGCGGGGGAGGGTGGCTCCTGCACGCTCAGGTGGCAAAGGGTGACCGCTAATGCCACGAACAATACCCTAAAATAAGCAAACCACCACTCCGGGCCAATTACCATGCTCCAGTCAAAGTTCCACCACGTAATTCGGGCCTGGGCCTTTTTTTCAAGCAAACTCGTTACTGAAAGCACAGTCATTTCCCTCTGTATTTTATTCACGCTGGAAATACCATTCAAACCGAAAAGGTAGCAAAACAAAAGGTAAAAAAAAAAAAAAAACCAACACCAAAAAACACAAGAAAAAAATGAAGGAAGTGGAGGCGCGGGGCGTTCAATATGCGTTTTCCCTCAAGCGGGAGCCCTGGCTCGCGGGCCGTCACTGGAAATGCCCAGTGCTCTCCGGCGGGGCTCGGGCCCCCAAAACCGGCCGGCGCGGCCGGGCTCCCCCGCTCCGGCGGAGGGAGGGGCGCTCCCCGCGGCGGCGGCGGCGGCGGGCAGTGGCCGCCACTCGGGGCCGGAGCCGGGTATGCCGGGGGCCGGCGGCTGCCCCCGAGCGAGCTCCGGGGCTGCGGGAACTTTCCCCCGCTCCGGCCCGGCCGCAGCCCAGGCTCAGACGCAAACTTTGCAGACGGCGCCGCTGGCGTCCGGGGTCCCGCCCCGAGACCCTCCCGCGCCGCGAGCCGAGCCCCCGAGCCCCCGAGCCCCGCGTGACCGGCCCGGAGGGCTCCGGCTGGGCCGCGCCGCCGCCGCCGCCGCCCGCGCCCCCGGCCCCGGCCCCGACCCTCCGGGCGCCGCCGCGGGCCCGAGCGGCCGACCGGGCCTGCGCCGCACGCCCCTCACCTTGGTGGCCATGGCGGGCGGCTCCCCCGGCCCGGGACGGCCGGCTCCTCTCCGGCGCCGCGGCTGTCGGCCCGAGGCGAGCGGGCGGGCGGGCGGCGGCGGCGGCTACGGCTGGGCCCCGGCGCGGCGGCGGCGGCGGCGGCGGCGGCCCCGAGTCTCGGCGCTCAGGCCCCGCCGCTGGGCGCTCGGCGACTCCAGCCGCCGCCCGCTCCTGCAGTTCCTGAAACTCCCCGGCTGCGCGGCTCCCGCCCCTGCCGGCCGAGCCTCCCATTTACCGCGGCGTGCGCGGCGCGGCCGGCGGAAGCGCGCCCGGTGCCCTCGGCCGGCCCGGCCTCCTCTCCCACTTTCCGCCCCCGCCCCGAGCCGCCGCCCCGGCCCGCGCCGCCGCCGCCGTCGCCGCCGCCGCCGCCGCCCGGCGCCCTTTGTTCCAGCGCCGGCCGCGTCCCGGGAGGCGGCCGGGCCGGGGTCGGCGCCCCGCGTGGCTGCCCGCGGGAAAACTTCAGGGGGTGTGAGGATTCTCTCGGGTCCCCCCCGCGCCTGAAGGACCGGCCCGACCGTCTCCCGCAGCCCGCGCCGTAGGCGGCGGCTGAAGTTTCTTGTGCCCGGTACACCGGGTTCGGTAATAACTCTGCGCCCCGCTGGCAGGGCCTGAGCCTCCCGCGGGGATCTCTGCTCGGCTGGGGATTGCTGTTGGGCCGGTTGTGCTCTCGGCTGAGTAAAATAGGGGCTAAATAAACAGCCCGGAGGGGAGCAATGGCTTCCCGATCCCACTGGCCCTGGGGAGAGAGCAAGATGGAGTCACTCATGTCAAGTAGTGAGCTAATCAGGAAGGGGGCCGAGGGCCCCGCCCCTGAGACCAGCTATCACCCCAACCAGCACAGACTGGCCACACCAAGGACTGATAATCAGTGAGGCCACAGAACCTGGAAGAACCAGGGGCTGATAATCACTGGAACCAGAAGAGGCCTGCAAAGGCCCAGGACTGATTTAACTCCTTTAAGAAGGGAGGACCTGTGCAGCGAACTGTCAGACCCTCCAGACGCTGACCTCCCCCGCCGACCCCGCTGGAAAGGCAGCTGCCCCTGAGGGCTCTGCCTGCTTGCTCTCTGAACAGAAAGAGCTCCTCCACGCCTGAACATAATAAGCAGTGAGCATGGAGGCCTGACCCCGACCCTGTCCTCTCAATGGTGCCCAGGGACTGACTTTGCTTATGGTTTGTTAACTTACCTTTATGGTATCTTGTTTGCCGTGAGACTTTATATTATATCTTGTCTTGTGTGACGTGTATGAAGCCCCGTTAAACGCGTAGTGAAATGTCATTGGGTTTGGAATCCTGAACCTGCTTTACAATCATGTTAACCTGGTTTTATGATCGAATAAACACAACCGTGTTTAGACACAACTTGTGGAAAGACACAACTCGTGTACGGGTCTTTATAGCGTGCTCGCAAAAGCTGGCGTAGTCCGCAGGATTCTATGTCACTGACTCACTACTTGCTTTCAGAAAATTTGGAAGAATTGGGGCGGGGGGAAACACAAAACCCTCCTTGAGTCTTGCTGGAATTGACTACAGAAGAATTAAAAACAATAAGTTGGGGGATAAATTTGTGTGACTATAGACTTTCCACGTGTCTTGCTTGGGGTGAGATCCTAAGCTGTTGGCACAGGCCGGCCAAAAGGAGACCAGCTCTATGCAGGGAGTAGTTGGCAGTAGAAGCCCGTGGTCTGGCTTACCCCTTTGCAAGCCCGGCACGAGGTAGAACTAGCTAAAGCTGAAACCAAGGGAGACCACCTCAGAAAGGTACAGGAAAGCTTACGAAAAATTAAACCATTCAGGAACACTGCATAAATGCATGTCACTAGGGGCCAAAATAATCCATAACCTAAAGGAAAGATATAAACAAAAATTGTGTGACAACCTATATACGTATCATAGGAAAGGTATAAGTGGGAAATGGAATTCTATATAGTCAAGAAACTATAACAGCTGCTAGAATATAAGAAAGGAAGAAAAATGTGGGCACTAGGCAAACACCTAAAAATGAGGGTGGGAAGGTCCAGAAGTCAGACATCATACGTTGCTTAGAAGACCTGTGGTACCCCACAGAACTAGAAGTCAGAAGGAGGCTCAGAACTAGGACCCCAGGAGATGTAATCATGGATCTGAAGGATCCTAAAAATATAAAACTGTTAGTGTCCCCAGCTTCCCCTGCAGAGGTTCCCATCTTACCGATGAAAACCACATTGCAGCTAGACCAGGACGAATAAAAAAGGCAAGGAGCTAGCTAACAGAATAATAAGGAAGGCCAAATCGATGAATAATTTAAAGGACAAACCGCTCTTGGGACCACAGGACCCCCATCCTGAGGACCCAGAAGACTATGATAACTCCACCATGGGGGGATGATTATCAAAGCGGACCTATTATTGGAAGGAAAAGAGTGATAGATCATAATCATAGGCAAGGACAACCCAAAGAAGTAGTGGCACTTAGTGAATATACTCATGCTGAACTTCAGAAGATCAGGACGAATTTCTGTCAAGGACATATCTGATGTAGACTGTTTACTCCATGTATGGGATAGTGGAGCAAACACAATAGCACTACTGGGTACGGAGATACATCGGGTATCTTCTTTAGCCAAAAACCCCTCATCAAACCATTCAATTATGGCAGTACATAGAAAGGACACATAGGTATAAATGCATTATTCAAACGGTTCACGGAAAGAAGTCCCAGGTTTACTGGGCACGAAATAAAAACATTGCAGGGATGCATCATGTGTAAACAAATGATAGACAGATATGGGTACACTGCACCAATAGACACATACAAACCCACTACATTTAATTTTATAATACAAATAGATTTCATAGGACTGCTAAAATCACAGTTATCAACAGAAGCATGCCACCGCCAGGGGATACATATACATAGCATTAAGGGTAGCCGTGGCTGCATTGAGGTCCTCAGCCCATGCAATCATAAGAGCTCTGGAATCATGGGCAGCTCACTTTGGAGCACCAATAACAGTAGAAAGTGACCAGAGAACTCACTTTACAGCCACCTCCGTTAAAAAGCCCTGTGATCGGGCACCTGGGTGGCTCAGTTGGTTAAGCGACTGCCTTCGGCTCAGGTCATGATCCTGGAGTCCCTGGATCGAGTCCCGCATCGGGCTCCCTGCTCGGCAGGGAGTCTGCTTCTCCCTCTGACCCTCCCCACTCTCATGTGCTCTCTCTCTCAAATAAATAAATAAAATCTTTAAAAAAAAAAAAAAGCCCTGTGATCTATGGAACTTAGAATGAAATTATCATCAAGCCTATAACCCTACAGCTGCTGGATGTATAGAAAGATTTAATGGATTATTAAAAAGAGAATGACAATTGGTAGAAAGACAAGGCCCTGGATGTGGCTTGCTTTACAGATTACAAAAAGATAATCCTCATAAGATCTTAAACACTTCTGCCCCAGATATAGGAAAGAGGGAGGTACCAGTAGACGCGCCCAAACTTCCATATAAGGTAGCAACAAAAGTGAGGGACAATTCTGTCTCCTTACAGGATATTGCTGCTCACAGACATGGGAACACTTATTGGACTTCAGGGGCCAAAGGGTAGCTACAACTTAAGAAAATCCCGAACTTTTCCCCCATGGGCATACATTAAGAATAATTTGAGGAGGCAGTGGGGCGCCTGGGTGGCTCCGTCAGTTTAGGGTCCAACTCTTGATTTTGACTCAGGTCATGATCTCAGGGTCCTGAGATGGAGCCCTTCCTCAGGTTCCACGCTGGGTATCGAGCTTGCTTAAGATTCTCTCTCTCCCTCTGCCCCTCCCCCGACTCAGGCTCTCTCGGAAAAAAAAAAAAGAAAAAAAGAATAATTGGAGGAAAACTGCATACGAACTAGGATCATACTACGCCTATGACATTATACTTTGGCTAATAACTAGCATGCTCATATGGACATTATATTATATAAACATGCCAGGCACGTGTAAAATACAACATTCCTCTTATTATAGATTAGAAAACTGCCGTATACTGCATCCAGTCCATGTGTTCCTGCTCACTGGTACAGCACTTGTGCCCTTGGCATTATAAGACAAGAGATACACATGCACACCAACTGCAGCATCATTTAGGATACAAATATGCAGTGTTGATCTAGTTTCCTGGCAACGAGGCTGCTAGGGAAAATATTTTTAATAATTACCAATAGTGTCCTGATTTTTGGTCTTACTGAACTAACTGGATACTTCATCTGTCACCGCCACAGACATTGCCACAGTGGTAACAGGACCCAACTATTGTGCAGAAACCTAGTTAACTACACAGTCTGCCTAATTAACAAAGTGTTACAAGAATAACGCTCCACAATACAGAGATGCACCAAATACCAGACTCTACCATACCAGACTCCCCAGAATCTCCTGACGGTGATCTAGACTCGGCACAAATAACTTGGGAAGACAATCCAGAAATTACCCCGCGTTGGAAGCATCCTGGGAAGATCTCTCAGACCTCTGGGAAGACCCGTTAGATGACGACACTTAGCCACAGCAGGTACGTGCTGATTGGTTTGAGTGCCAAGATGTGCTGACTCCTATGAGGCATGTGAATTTTAATGATTGCTTCTTGACTGAACTAGCAGTACCATTAGGAACTTCACAAGGACTAGTGGAGGTCACAGACATAGGTCACTTAATTGATATTTATTGGCTTTTCACACACTATTGTCAACATATACAAGGGCTGATTAATCAGAGAGATAATAGGGGACATTATTTTAGGCTGGAAACATACCCACATGTACCACATGATTGCCAAGATTTGGTGGCTGGTTTTATGTATCTTAATCATAAATATGGCCACTATCCCTATGAGCACAAGAGATACCAATAATATTTTAGCTCCTGAATACGACACCACAAAGCCAGCCCACACCAAAACTCAATTTTTCAAATCATGCCCCAACCACAGCAGGACTGCCTGAACACATGCCAGGCTATATTTTATACACTCACATCTCCCTTTTTCCAGAGCTAATTACATACGTGCTTAATTGCACTAGAGCTCGAAAAGCAACTTTAAGACCCTTTTGCACTTATAGTAATGATATTAAGCTTTGCCAACAAAATTTTTACTCTTAGCTTACAAACTGCATACCTTTACGGAGCTATACATAAAATAGATCACACACTAGATGATTGCAGACACAACATGATAAAGTGGGAAAGACCAGAATTATGCTCATTCCATGAAGACTTTAGTAATATCTCACACCAATATGCCACTCATGTTACAAACAAGAAAATTTTAAGTGAAGACATGGAATTAACCCCATGCATTGAATTTAAAAACATTAGTACCATCCTACATAATCTCACCGCAGAAACGTATGTACCCAACATAGAGCATACCCTGCGGGATATCCAGACAGCACATGCATGAACCTTGTTATACACTCATACAAATCCTTTGTCAACATGTGGTATAAATTTTGGTGCCAACTGGGTATGGAACAAGAGGATGCATATGACAAATAGGAGTATCTGGAAACTACTACTACTCCTCATAGTACTCCTAACACCACCACTACTAACCCTCATTACATCATTTTCCACACTTTAGCCCACCCCTAGACAAAGTTCCGGTGCCAACTGGGTACTCGAAGGATTACAGCATCATATCCACAAACAACATTACCTAGTATGAGTATTATTTAATAGATTTTCCAAACTTTCCATTTTTTTGGCAATTTTTGCATGAGACACAAAGATTCACAATGTAATAATACACATAGCACTTGGTATGCCAAGGCTTCATCAACCTACCTAACACTTGGAGGATTTTATACAAGAGGAAATGGAACATTTGCATCCACAGAATTAGATTGGAAATTAAAAATAGGACCAACCTTGCTTACACAACCGGATCACCACTTCACACATCAAGCTAGACCTGATTTACATGTGCCCCCAAACCCACATTATTATATGGAACAATTATGCCATAATTGGGCATGGGCATGCCCGAGAGGCTTTAAAAGTAATTTACCACACACCTACGTGGGGACAATGCTACAAGACGAATGCTTTTAAAACCAATTGTCGTGTGCTTTCCACCGAACCTTACAGTGGCACACACAAGGGGTTATTTTTACACAGAATATTCAGGGAACCTAAACTACCAATTTGGAACAATTCAGACTTTAAAACATTGGTTTACAGGGTGTGGGCATTACCCTGATGGACTAGTAAATTGCTCTGGAGCAGGACTTATGAGTCAAATTCAGCTGTCGACACTTTTTGCAGACTAATTCATAACGGAATGGAATCACAAAGCTTGAACAACACCATGATCAGGTAGCTCCCCCTTAATGGTACAGCTGAATTTAAGTTACACTTCGCCTAACACAGGATATAGTATGCAATGGAATGGTGGCGTAAGTAAAGTTACACATGGATGCCACATAACACCTCCATCATTGAAGATATCCCCACGGAAAATATCATCATGGCACTACGTCCTCATGGAAGTGACATCTCCTCCAGTGGTAACACTTTTGGACATCATCCAGGCTTACCCAAATTTAGATGCAATATTACATGGTAGAATATTTCCAGAGATAGTCCCCTACTGCAGGCTAACATCACAACTTGCAAACTGCCAGTTAATATGACTAATTGTTGGACATCTGGGTACCCCGAAGTTAAAACAAAATGGTTCCCAGAACAGTCTATAACACCTATACAATCATATCTAAATGAGTTTCAGCACTTAAGAGGTAAACAGGGCAATATGAGCTTTACTTGTGATCATATTCTAGATAATTGTAATAGCCTTGCAGCTATGAATCCAGCTACTTTAGGTCCTTTCACACCTACATGGTATAAGAAACAACTCAACAACTCAAATGCTCCAACGCTAATCCTACCTACGACACATCTTTTTGTAAATGGCTTAAAATAAGTGGCACATATCATGCTACCTTAATATCAAACTCTGCAGTCAGTCTATATAACATAACAAAGGAAGGGATCCTACTGGTATGTCCATTAGAACAACTAGATTCAATACAGTTTTATACCTTCTGGTTAGGAAAACCTCAATTATACAAGGCAGATCACCAGCATGGTGGAAAACACTGGGAATTGATTTTAATGCAGACTTAGTAACACAGATTGATCCAGGTACGCAACAGTATTTCTTCTCATTGATCCAACCATCAGATGCACAGTGAGTAGAACACACATGGTGGGCACAGCACCCTATCTATGAGAATATAATCAGAACTGATTCATCTATACCAATTTACATAGTTAAAGGACTTTCTTTGACAAATATGGTGTATCACCCAACAGCCCAGGCCCATGTATTATTGAGAGATGTTGGACTACTACACATTGTATGAGAACTTTCCATTGGAAACCACAATGGACACATTGCATTACCAAACCAACACCAAAAATCCTCAAGCCAAATGTGTTTGAACCTGTATTACTTAGTCCTGTGAGAATTGTATGTAAACCTATGTCACAGAGAGTTGAAATAACAAAAGGAACAATTCAATTTGTTCTATATACAACCTGAATGTAAAATTTATGCAACAGAAATAGGAGCGACCACCCCATTGAATTGCCCAATTTACCACCTATTGATAAAATTAGGCTTAGGAACCTCCTGCAGTTCCTGGTAGGACTAGGTATCATCTCTAACTTAATTGTCTCTGGGATAAAGAAGCAGAAATCCAGACTCTTAAGCAGGAGCTATTTGCATTTAAAAAACACATGTTCACCCCCTATTTAATGCAATAGGTGATTTAGGTTCCAAAAACTCCTCAGCATTCAGAGAACTAGATTCCATTGTCTCAGCTATGTGTGATTACCATGCCTACCGACTGAAACCTAACTATAACATTTCCCGTAAAGTCCAAGTCCTCCAACAATATTCACTCAATATTAGACATTTCTACCTAAGAGAGCAATTTAAAAAATAGTTGCTACAGAATCAGTAACCTACTGGAGAGAGCATGGAATGACATCAGAAACATTACTGTAACAGGGAAGACGTCTTCTTCTGACTGGACAGAGTCTCTCCTACAGTTAGACACATCCAGGTCATCTGATTATGACAATACAGGACAATGTAATCTTTCATTGTTAAGACTATTAAGGAGTTGGGGTGCCTGGGTGGCTCAGTCGGTTAAGTATCTGCCTTCGGCTCAGGTCATGGCCCCAGAGTTCTAGGATTGAGCCACACATTGGGCTCCCTGCTCAGCGGGGAACCTGCTTCTCCCTCTCCCTCTGCCCCTCACACTTGTGCTCTCTCTCTCAAATAAATAAATAAAATCTTTAAAACAAAGACTACTGGGGGTAAAAGCCTATTAGCATATGACACATACACCAACCGTACTCCAAGTACATGTAAATAGCACTTTTGACAACCCACACATCCATACGGAGTGATGGATATTTACTACCCAAAAAGAGGATATTTCAGTGATGTAATTACCTGTATTATACCTGGCATGAACTGGAAATCAATGTTAATCTTCATCCTCTAGCAACAATAGCCATGGAAAATTTATTCTTCCACAGGGGACACTTTTCAACTGCATAACTTATGCTAAGAACTCCTCAGAGGTCACCTTCTTTAATCGCACTTGGAGGCATGGTACTTTCATCACCATCGGCAAAGGATGCATTAAAATATTGTATGCTCGGGTGCCTGGGTGGCTCAGTCGTTAAGCGTCTGCCTTCGGCTCAGGTCATGATCCTGGGGTCCTGGGATCGAGTCCCACATCGGGCTCCCTGCTCAGCAGGAAGCCTGCTTCTCCCTCTCCCACTCCCCCTGCTTGTGTTCCTGCTCTCGCTATGTCTCTCTCTGTCAAATAAATAAATAAAAAATCTTAAAAAAAAAAATATTGTATGCTCTTAATGTAACATTTAATAATGTTATCAAAATGGGTAACTTTATCTCAGAATATTCATGTAAGGATTTTCCAACATCCCATCACACCAGAGTAACAGAGATACCTTGGGTGAAAACTGACAAGATTGATAAACTCTAGGTAAAAACTTAGAAGGATTCAGGGTGGCCCACAAAACCTTGACCAGCAAGCTAACCCACTTTGAACATGCTGCACAGGCCATTTGTGTGGCCTTGGCACTCCCCAACACCAACCTGGCCGCACTGAGCAGAGATATACAAAATTTACAGAATGTATGTTCTTTCTAGAATTGCTAACAAAACCTTTTAAACATGTCATTGTTCTGGCTCCTGGTCTGACTATAACCCCTTAAAATACTTAAAGATGGGAGGCAATTACTTCTCTACTCATATTTGAGAATCCATTAAGGAAATCCTTCTATTGCTTTTAGCTATTATTTTGGCTATCTTATTAAAAAAGCTATTAGAATGTTATGCACCCTCAGGCTTAAGAAGGGAAGATTACAAAAAGACTATGATTAATCATACCCTCCCTGTTCTTTTCTGTATGCGCCGTGAGCCTATGTCGAAGATTTCATTCATATTTTTGGACTTCTGTCTACCCTATTTGATAACATGATTTTCATTTGATTTTGTTGATTTGTTAACTTACCTTAACTGAATTCAGATTTAGTTTGGTTTCTGACTTAATTCTTATTAAATAGGACTTAAAATTTGAGTTTTGATTCTGATTTGACTTTATAACCTGACTTAATTTATATTTGATTTAATCCTTAGTTGATTTTGCTGTACTCTAAATTGATTTACCTTTATATGACTCAATTTTAACTATCTAACTCATTTTGATTTGTTGTGACTTTCATTTTATGTTGTCAATTGACATTTCATATGATTTGAGATTGATCTGATTTTGTTTGATTTTCACTGGAACCATCATTACATGACTTAGATTTGCCTTTATCCATAGCAGAGTAAAACCATACTGCTGATGTGGTTAAAAACATATTTCATTCCTGCATGACCCTTTATGGTTTAGTCATGAGTAATCACGGGGTGGGCTGGAGAGAGCAAGATGGAGTCACTCATGTCAAGTAGTGAGCTAATCAGGAAGGAGGCCGAGGGCCCCGCAGCTGAGACCAGCTATCACCCCAACCAGCACAGACTGGCCACACCAAGGACTGATAATCAGTGAGGCCACAGAACCTGGAAGAACCAGGGGCTGATAATCACTGGAACCAGAAGAGGCCTGCAAAGGCCCAGGACTGATTTAACTCCTTTAAGAAGGGAGGACCTGTGCAGCGAACTGTCAGACCCTCGAGACGCTGACCTCCCCCGCCGGACCCCGTTGGAAAGGCAGCTGCCCCTGAGGGCTCTGCCTGCTTGCTCTCTGAACAGAAAGAGCTCCTCCACGGCCTGAACATAATAAGCAGTGAGCATGGAGGCCTGACCCGGACCAGACCGAGTCCTCTCAATGGTGCCCAGGGACTGACTTCGCTTTGGTTCATTAACTTCTTACCTTTAAGGTATCTTGTTTGTTGTGGGACTTTGTATTATATCTTGTCTTGTGTGACGTGTATGAAGCCCTGTTAAACACGTAGTGAAATGTCATTGGGTTTGGAATCCTGAACCTGCTTTACAATCATGTTAACCTTGTTTCATGATCGAATAAAGCTGACCCTGTGGAAAGACACAAGTCGCGCACACGGCCTCACGGAATGCTTGTGACACCCTCCAAGGAGGTTCTGTCTCCAGCCTGGAGGTTACCACAGCCTGTGATCCCAGCTGGAGCTTCTGGGCCGGAACGTGTGGGGATTTCATTCTGAGATGTCCAAATTACCTCCTTCTGGACTCTCGATAAATTTAAAAACGCCTCAGGGCCCCGGAGGTTTGAGGGAGACACAACAGGCTTCCTGAAGAGGAAATGAGAGGTCTAAAAATCTCCTTTTTTTTGGTCAAAATGTTTCTCTTCAGAGTAGATATATGGGTTTTATTAATGATGAATGACTCAAATTGAGCGGCAAGATCTTCACTCAAGTACAAAAGACCTGACCCGGAGATAGATCTTAATTGATATATTAGTCTAGTACATTTTGTTTTTATTAATTAGGAATATATGTTAAAAGAGGCAGCTACAAATCAGATCAACCTTAGTCTGGGAAAGAGGTATTTAGGGGTAATGTGAAATTTGTGTCCTCTCAAAAAATATTCTATCTGACCTCCAGAGATTTCATCAGTTACATTCAACAATGGAGTTTAAAAAGGATATGGCGCTACAGAGCACTGTGAATGTTTGCTGAGGTCACGGCCGAAGCAATAGTCTTCACAAAATTCACTAAGAGTCTTTCCTAAGTAAAAGGGAAGTTGGAGACCAACATTTGTTGACAGCCTACTCGCCCTATAATAGGCTCTCACATGCCTTACTCTCATTTAGTCCTTATAAGAAACCTTTGAGAAAGCCATTATTGTCCACTATTTACAGACATGAAGAAATCAAGGCTCACTTAAATAACTTGGCCGATTTGGTAATATTTATCAACATTGGAAATGACCGTTACTGTTGACCTAGCAGCTTTACTTCTAGGAATTTATCCTGCTGTCCGACTTGTGTAAGTGAGAAAGACGCTCAGTAAACCATTGCTTTGTGAGAACCCAAACAGAAAGCAAACTATATATTTGTTAACAGGACTGTCTAGGAATGCCTGGGTGGCTCAGTTGGGTAAGCATCTGCCTTCGGCTCAGGTCATGATCCCGGGGTCCTGGGATCGAGCCCCACCTCGGGCTTCTTGCTCAGCAGGGAGCCTGCTTCTCCCTCTGCCTGCTGCTCCCCCTGCTTGTGCTCTCTCTCTCTGACAAATAAAATAAAATAAAATCAATCAATCAATCAATCAATCCCGGTTTAAAAAAAAAAACAAGATCATCTCAATAAATATGGTATAGCCACAAAAATGAAATACAAGGGAGTCCATACGAAAGTGTTACTATTTTAAGAGGTATTAATAAAGGTAAAAAGAACATTATAGAACATTATAGTACAATCCGTTTGTGTAAAAAATATGAAAATACATTATCTATGCCTAGGAAATTCCTAAAAAGATTCACCAGATGCTATTGTCAGAAATTTTGCATAAAGATGTATTGCTTTAACTTAAGAATGAGTTTACATTTTAACAAACGACTAAAAGCACACACTAGTCTGTGGAAAAGCCAGGATTTGAACTCAAGTAATAATATAGGTTCTGAGGCTTCCATATTCTTTTAAATTTGAGAGCCGGACTCAGGTGCCTGCAGCCGTTCAGTAATGTATGTTTTGCTAGGAAGTCAAGGTCGCTCCTATGACCTGTGCGTTCTACACGCTCAGTTGAGAAGTTCTGGGCAACTGACCATTTTGGGTACATGGCACCAAGAAAGCCAGAAGACCAGCTTTTCTTGGTCTTTTCCTACTTGAACAATTTCTATAGCCTTGGATTCATTTTGGAAGTAACCACGGAGACACCAAATGCAGAATAACCAATGCAAATCAATATGAATAGTTAAATAAAAGTGAATCACCACGTATATTTTTGAGGCATTGTTTATAGATCCTGGAAGTGTAGTCACTGATGTAATCCTCACGTGAGCCTGATCTCCGCCTCTCTTTCATACCACCCTCCCAGACTGCGCTTCAGCCACCCGGGGCCTCTCCCTTCCTCCTGACTCCTGAGCGGCACATTCCCTTCCAGGGTAAGGACCAGGACCAGCTTCTTGGGTGGCCATGTGACCTGTGCAAAAGGGACCGTGCCCAGATGGACCCTGTCCTTGCTTTAATGCTCTGTTCTCACCATCTTTAAATTCTTTTTTTTTTTTTTAAAGATTTTATTTATTTATTTGACAGAGAGAGAGTGAGAGCAGGAACAGAAGCAGGGGGAGTGGGAGAGGGAGAAGCAGGCTTCCCGTGGAGAAAGGAGCCCGATGTGGGACTCGATCCCAGGACTCTGGGACCATGACCTGAGCCAAAGGTAGACGCTTAACGACTGAGCCACCCAGGCGCCCACCATCTTTAAATTCTTAATTGGTTTGAACAAGGGGCCTCACAATTTCATTATGTGCTGGGACTCCAAAATTATGTTGCTTATGTTGTTCCTTTGTCTGAAATACTCCCCAGCCACCCACCATCCACCCTCCCCACCATACCCCCATCCCAGCTAACTTCCCAGTCATCTTTCAGAGCTCCCGTGAACTGTCACGGTGGTTACAATTCTCAGGGAAATCTCCCTGGCCCCCAGTCTAAGTCAAATTCTGTCAGTGTAAGTTCTCATAGTACTGGTTTCCTTGCCTTTGGGAGCTTATCTCAGTTAGTAATTCATTGGAGTGACCATTTGCCTGCCTCCCCCGTCAGACTCTAAGTATGTTAAGGGGAGGAGGTTCTCTGCTCTTGTCTCACACCTGCCCCTGCTCACCTAGCTCACGGGAAGCCCCCACTAAAAGAACTGTGTGAAATGAGTAAGTAAATAAATGAATGGCAGGAGTTATGGATCACAAATTAAGCAATACAGCATTTGCTTGAGTCTACTTTCGAGCAACTCTTGGGATTCTGTGGAACACACTGAAAACCACTGTCTATCATTACACATACTAATGTGAACCGTTGCGCAATACGAGCTTCCACAAATTTTATTACTCAATAACATCCTGTTTTTCTAAAAAAAGAGTACTCTTCAGAAGTGTTATTCCTCTACCAAGTTTTATGAAGTAATTTTATGCTATAACGTTGCTTTTGGCCGGTGTGTATGAAAATAAAGCTGCTAAGCTGAACAGTGTTTAGTGGAGATGTTAAAAATGCGATAAAGATTTTAATTATGTTCAAGATCTCTCTAGTGTGACTTGTCATTGAGGTACACATCTCTTACGTACTTTCCAATTATTGGTCGGCATCTGTTTGTCTTGGATATAAGTACCAAGTCCATGGGATTTTAAAATGCCAGTCCACTCACTTGCAGGTGCAGAAACGAGACCAGGGTCGTTGAGGGACTCACTCATGGCCGTGAATTAAGCCACAGCAGGGACAGGAACCCACTTCTCTTATGACAGGTCTCCAAAACATGTCATTTTCAAATGACAAATGTTTTAGGTGAGAGGATTGAATGGGGTTTTGTGAAGGTAGGGACAGTCACTGTTAAAAACAGGACAAGGACTCCTGTCCTGGAGGAGGCCCCCACCCACACTAGAAGAACAGAAGAAATGTGACCTCGTTTTCTCTTACCTGCCGAGGTCCAGGTGCCCAGTGGGGCAGCAGCTTCTCCCAGACGAAAAAGTTGACTTCACTCGGGAAAATCATGGAAGGCTCTGGGCGAAGTCGCGAAGTAGACGGCTTTTGTTTCCCGCTGCCATTTGAAAAACCCATTCATGCTCCTTTCTTGCCTCCCGTCCGCCTCCTTCCCTTGACAGCCTGCCTTGGAGGTGGCACCCTACACGGGCTGCCCGCAGAACCCCGAGCCCCAGCACTGAGCCTGGCACA